TTTTATTTACTTTATTGTTTAAATATACTTTCAGTGTGCAATAAAGATGCATAACGGAAGGATAAAACTATATCTATATATACTACGGTTTTTATGCATTTATAGCATTTACGACTGTCTAGAACCCGGTACACTGTTTAATAAAAACTGTTTAATAAAATTTAATGAGATTTCCGTTTTCTCTAGAAACCGACAGAACTTTTAATACAATAAACGTGCTCATTTTTATTTCTATATCTATCAATTAGTTCACGGAAAATTATATTTCCATAAATATCCGCAGTTTAACTATAACCGACGAATAGAAAAACATTATCGACTCAAGAATATTTGATCACTTGTTTGAGTTACAACACATTTAACGTTTTTTAATGAAAACGACACGATTTAACGTTTTAGTTTTCATGTGATTATTTCATGTGATTATAGCTAATTGATAGAACGAAAGAAAAATGACGGGGTAACAATTATAACGCAATATCTTGCATTTTTTTCTTCTTTAAGCTTGGAATTTTATAAACAATTAAATACTTTTGTAGGACAATCTGTATATTCTGTTCACGGATTCCAATGGTTTGAATATTTTTTTAGATTTATAAATTAAGGAAAACGAAGTAACAAATTTAAATGCTTATCAGAATTTTAAAACAACTTGATATATTGTGATTATGATAATTTTATGTCTTCAGTAGTTTCTTTTAAATTTTCGTAACTTTTTCAAAATTTTCGTAAAGTAGCAAACATAGATTCTATATATATATCTATTGTTTAATTGTCTCTTAAATTGAATAAGTCGTCTTGCAAAGTGATTGACTGTGTAAAATTAAAAATAGAAAAGTTTAATAAAATTGCGTACATAAGAGACAAATTAAGTGTTCCAACATTAAAATTTAAAAACATTTAAATCGTTGAGTTAATCAATTTACGTCGTAATTAATTATAAATATTCCGTCAGTCAACTGATTTATTATCACGCAAAAAGCATCTTCTCCAAGATTTTACAATTTTCAATCACAAACAGTATTTTATCGTACCGTCCTCTTCGTTTTGCTTTAGCTTTCCGTTAAAATATATTATAGATGTATTTGGCCAGCATTTAATGAGTGTATACATCATTATTTGATTTCATTGCCAGCATTATCAGAGACTTTTTAAATTAAATTCCACAGTCAAAAGGTTAACCCTTTGCATTCGGAAGGCGCCGTTCAGTCGCCATTTGCTTCGCCCCAACAAAATGATAAAATTTCAAATTCAACGTTAAATGTCTTATAACGTATCATTGCATGGAACATCGATATAAAATAGTCCCTCAGTTTACGCAAGATATTCCTTTACGTCAGTTGCCAAAACTACCATTGACATTTCATCAGAAAACAACGAATATTTGTTGAGAAATATATTCTCGAGTGCAAAGGGTTAATAAAATGAATAGTCTTCAAAGCAGTGGAAAACATCACAAAGAAGAAATAAACAATGAACAGTCACTATGGAATATTTCGTTGTGTCATAGCGTATTTCTGAAATAACGAAAAGTGTTTGGAAACTTTCCATGGTCGGCACGAGCGGAACAGAAGCATTTAACATTCTTCAAGAAGAAACCTTTAAAAAAACAAAACACTCGACAAGAACTCAGGAATTGGCTCAATACGAAATCGAAATCGTTCGAAACAATTCGCGTCGCAGTAAAAGGGAGCAAGGACTGAAGGATCGAAACCCGCGGATGGAAGGGCGGAAGTGCAAACGGGGCTTAATGCAGCATCAGCATCCGACACGGTGTACTGCGCCGTGTATTCGTCTCTCTCTCTTCCTTGCTCTTTCTTGCTCTCTTCACTCCCTCTCCCTCACTCCCTCTTTCCAACCATTAAGTCGTCTCCCTCCTTTTAATAAAAATATTTCTCTCTCTCTGTTCCACCGGTCTCTCATGGCGGTCGATCTTCCCAGTCACACCCTAATCCAGCTTCTCTCTCGCTCGCGCTGCGGAATATAGGGTGACTACGATTTCGGCCCCCTTCGCGGAGCCACTTAACGAGGAGGTGCTCGTTTATC